TATATATATATATATATATATATATATATATATATATATATATATATATATATATATTGATATTGATATATTGATAATATTATCACGTATGTTAATTTTTTAATATACTAATAACTTTCTTTTCAAAACGTATATATTGAATAAACGTGTGGAATTTAGCGATATATTATATTTAAAAAAAGCGATTATTATATATAATCATTAAAAGATATACAAATTTCATAACACGAAGATGTCCCGTTAGGTGTATGTAAGGCCACATAAGTTGTCACCGTTTCTTCGATTTTATATTGCCTTAATAAGCATTATGATTAGAAAAAATAGGACAACTTTGTAAAATCCGTATTTTTTGTACTGTATTGTAATTGTCACTGTTAAGTTAAGTAAATATGAAACTGAAAATTTTGTCAAAAGGTTCCTATATGTTACATGAAATAGAAACTTTGATGATAACGTCGATTTCATTATTACTGCCACATCACAAATATAATTACCTCATTTATAAATTATTCTGAATTACACTATGTGTATGCATACATTTGAAACGAGAGAAAAATAAATTTAAATTAGCCGAATATAGCTAAGTTCTCTCGTTAAAATTTGTTATTAAACACGTGTATATTATATACTAAGCTACATGAATAAATGTTAAAAACATGATCGTTAATGCGCTTTTATTTCATTACGTTTCTGTTTCGTTATGATTTAGACGAAATTTTATATTTTTAAGATTAAGCGCAAGAAAAATACTAATTTTCGATTTATTAAAGAAAACTTTATTGAAAAAAATTCAATTATGTACATAATTATATAAAATTATCTTCCTTATTAAATATATCTATTCTTTTTCGCACATACATGTATAAAATTTATCTGCATGACAGATGTAACATATTTTATTCGTATAAAATGCAAATTGCACTAATGAATTTTAATAAATTCATTTCATATTGGCATATTTGCTTTGAATATATCAATCTGTTTAAACTCTAGTATTTTTTAAATAAACTTTTAAATACTAATTTTATATATAAATATTCAGTAAGTAGGAGTTTTGGGATTATCTTATAAATAATAGAATAAAATTTTAGTAGATTTATTTAGGCACTATCATCAGAAACGTTTGGTTCATAATCAGGATCCTCATCATCGTCGTCATCTTCTAATTCCAAATCATCTAAATTTTGAAATAAACTTTCGTCTACTTTAACAGAATCTAAAGAAAAAAAAAATCAATATTATATTTCCTTTGAATATTTTCAATGCCTTAATTTCAATTAAATAAATTAAATATTTTAAAATAATACCATCATCTAAAAACTTTAGATCCGATTGATCCAACGTTTTATCAGTCATAAATAATTCTCTACCAGTTAATTTCTTTCCTTCTCGTTCAGCTATCTCTTTCCTTTTCGTGTATCCCATTTCTTCATCAAATTTTTCTTTCCAACATAAAAATGTTTCAACTGTAACTCTGGTACCCTCAAACTTTTTCTAAAACAATATAGAAATAAATGCTTTTAAATAAAAGCAGCAATGAAATAATTTCTATTTTTAAATTTTTAGAATATAACATCTTACTCTTTCTGCTTCTTCCTCTTCTCTGAGTTTTTGTGCTTCACATTCTTCCCGATTTAATTTAATTTTATCCCATTGTACATTAAGCCATTCTTGAGCGGCACTAACTAAAGTAAATACCATAACCATTCCAAGGTTTTCGTTCATTTGTTCTATTAAATGTTTTTTTAAATTTTCAGTACTTTCTTCTTCGAAGTTTTCAGGTTCTTCTATTGATATTAAGAGTGGTTCATCCGGATATTTTTCGGTATATGTAAATTGTAAACAACAACTGAGACCATTTTCGGTACCTGATTCATATTCTTCAGTTTTAATAGGTATGGAAAATGTATAAAATGGTTCTGTTGCTAAAACTAAATGAAAAATTTATTTATTAAATTTATTATAAAAATTTAATAATTAAAATTGTAAAATATTATTTAACATAAGATATATATTTATTATTATGTTTCATCAAATTAACGTGATAGATAAAGAATAATTTTAAATTGTAATTTGTGAAATAATAATAATGTGTTTTATGGTATGAAAACAAATTTATAGGTTAACAACCAACGCATGCATACCTTCCAATTCTCCACAATAAATTGATTCCAAAGCTTCAATCTCATTATGTTGTTCGTCTTTATAATCCATGATGATTGAAATAATTATTAAAAATGTTTTATATTATTCACTTAATTCAAAACTTGCTTTAAGTTGGAAAAAAAAATCACAACACAACTGTAACAGCAGAAATGGACGGCGTCGTACTTGAAGCGGTATTTATACCATAAATGAAAGGAAGTGGTCAGTAAATCATAAAATTCCTACCTTCTCGTAATTTGAAAATTTTTAAATAAATTTTACAATTTTGAACATTATTAATAATATATTATATATAAAAAATTTATTTATAATTATAATTTTTTTATATTAAAATTTATTTATAAAATTTTATTATAAAAAGTCAAAACTATTATAAATGTATATATATAAAAATATTATATATTATATAAAAAAAAATAATTCAGAAGCATAATATTTTATTTTAATATATCATTTTTTTTTTACAACAATGATTTGTATATTTATAATAATAAGAAGAATTATAAATAATTAAAAAGAATTTCAATTGATTCGGATTAAAGCTCAAACAATAAAATTATATATTATATATATTATATATATTAAGAAGAAATATAAATATTAAAAAGCTATCAAAAGAATTAAAAAAAATATAATTAATGTATATTTAATTTTTTACACATTTATTATTTGTAACATAAGATTAAATAAATTTTTGATATTAAATTATTGTGAATATAAATTATAGTTGTATGTGTTAACAAAGTACTATCCATAGATTTAAAACTATATAGAATATTAACTACTTAATTAAATATTTGTATATATATATATCTGCATATATAAGAATACATAATACAGACATATAAATAATAAATAAAGACATAAAAAATATTTTTACATTTAAATAATAAGATCTATTTTCATCATAATTATAGATAAAAATAAATAAAAAATAGATAATTAAAATTTTAAAACTGAAGAACAGACGATGAAAAAAATATTAAGTAAATTTTTGGAATTTTCTTTCAAATAAAAAAAAATTACAAATAAAATGTTTCAATTAAAATAAATTAAATAATCATCTTATAAATTTAGAAATTTCTAAGACTAGAAATTTTCCGAATTTTGAAATTCTTAGAGTTAGCTATTCTAAGTTTTTCCCCACTCCAACAGTTTACAGTCCTTTTCCGAGCCCTTACTTTCTCTACCTGCAAATTTCATTCAATACCCAATCCGTCTATTTCAATTTTCAACTCCTAGCTTATATACTTCGAGACGACACCATCGAGCGTCTCTCGATTGAAAAAGAATCACGATACGAGTTCGCGACACTTCATTTTATACGCACATCATAATCAGAATTGTATTAAGCGCGAGACACTTCAAAATTTCCGCGTTTTCGAGATCGGTTAGAAGCCGATTCGAAATATAAAAGAAGCCCATTTTGAGATCATCATCGGCTCGTACCTATCATTTCCACATTATTGCGCGATGCTGCTGGTAGCGCGCAAAAGCTTTTGCAGCAGATTTAACACGGACAGAGGCCGTCAGGTGGCCAGGAAAGCAAGCAAGCGCGGAGCGCAATCAATACGCTCGCAGAACGCGGCGGTGCCTCGTGCGCGACAGCTTCGGCTGAGCTTTCAGTTGGACGTACGAAAGCGTCGAAAGCTCACGAAAGCTCGGTTCGCTCGCTCGGCTTGCTCGCGCGCGTCTTACCGCGTTGCACCGGATCGTCGTCAAGAGGCTACAGGGTGGTGGACTTGACAGCAAGCGGCAAAATGGCGACCGCGATACGAAACAAATGACTTTTTGACTGAAAGTTGATTGTGCAAGCTCCGCGTGATACGTCTCGTATACGCCTGAGACAGATTCGTATACATTTGGATCAGCTTTGAGCGGAGAGGTTCGAGCTCGATGAAGCTGATTGGAACGAGAACGTTGTCCACGATTGGGACACTCGTTCGATTGTCATCAAAGCTCGGTCTTCTCTT